TAGCAATCTGGGTTCAAATAAATGGGTCCTTTCAATCATGGGCATCTCAGGATTGTTATAGAATCATGAAGCAACTGCAATATTTTCTTAATGCCATAATGTTGATATCATGATCCAGATCATCAAAGACTCAAGCTCAATTTTCAGATACTTTACTCTTCTTTCTAAAGCTTATACATGCTACACAAATATGTACCTTTGTGCATAAGGATGGTGTCTGTCTTGTCATTAAAAGGCAAAGCCCAACAGTAGCAAACTTCATGAAGTATCAAATTGACTCTGTCACTGTTGTTAACATGAACATTTTAGATACAGTGGATGTATGGGTTTTCATTTTGGCTATTGGTAGGAAATAGAGTTGTAAGTTTCATTTTCACTTAGCTATGCAGGCAATGATTCCAACTAGGAAAAATAATTAGAGCAGAAAAATTTTGCAAAATGATTTTCAGGCAAAATACCCTATTAGACTTTGATTTCTTAGATCTGTGCTGAATCAAATACTTTGCTTTACTAGATGTTCATCAGTTTGTCTCTGAGCATTTTTATTAGAATCCATCTCTCCACAGCAAAACACATTTTCACCTTTCATAATGAAGGATTATGATCTACCTATGACCTTTGAAAAATATGTGCTTTTTACACAGAAACAATTTGATAATAATCACAACTGTACCATATGAAAGGGATGTTTGTATAAGTCATAAATACAATACTAGGACAACATTGATATGAGGCAGAATTTCACAAAATACTCTATATTATAAATGCTAGCCTAAGAGAGAAGTTTATTCAAAGTGCAAATTAATCCACCACCTACAGTGAAAATGTTTGCAAGTTTTTCTATATTGATTTATGTGAATGCTTAAGACAGCCAATTCAAATTATAGTTAGACAGGAGACAAGGTTATGTGAATACAAAAATATAATTTAGAGAACAGCATAAGCATTTTAATTGGACAATTTAATTAACATTTTAAATATCTATGATAGGTGTGATCATCAGAACATATTTTACCAATGAGGGAAATAAGACTAATAAATCTCATGCATTCTTACATGTGAAAAGTAGATATTTCTAAACTGAGAGATATTAAAAAAATTAGAGTAGCTAAATTGAATTGAATTTTCAGTTATGGGAATTAAACCTAGGACTTTGTGATTCCTAGGCAAGTAAGTAGTCTAGCATTGAACTAAATCTCCACTCCCCCAAATGAACTATTTTTAAAAGATAACATTATCTGTATTTTAATACAAATGGATTTCAGATTAATAAATCTCTTGAGATGTTTCTACATTTCTATTTTCAGAATGTAAGACTGAAGGAAATTTTCCCTAGATGATTTTTACTCAGTTTAGTATCAGATAAATTTAATTCTATTTTTGGACATATAGATGAGACATCTCAATAGAATCTTTTCATTTTACACTTTCCTGATTATATGATGCCCATTAAAGGCACTATTTTATTAACATTTAACTTTAAATCAATTAATGTTAATGAATATAATTTTGGTCCTTTCCTAAGTTGATCATCTCCCAACAAATATCATTATGACCGTCTTTTGAGAATACAACATCCTAGTGTACATGTCAGTAAAGTATTAACAATAAACATTTTTTCATGTAAGAAAAGAATATCAGATGATGTTTTAAGCTACATGATGCATCAATAAAAGATGCCCGAGTCATGCTATTATACCAAAATTATATTTTTTTCTTTTCTTCCTTCCTTCCTTTCTTTCTTCCTTTCTTCCTTCCTTCCTTTCTTCCTTCCTTCCTCTGTCTCTGACTCTGTCTCTCTCTCTCTTTCTGATGTTATCTGGTTACCTCTAAAATATGCATCTGGCTTTTATTTGAAGAATTATCCAAATATCAAATTAAAGGAGAGATATCAATTACTCTTTAAATACACATAAACTAAAATCTTCATGAATTCAACAGGTTTTTTGCTGTATAAAACTAAATCCAGATTACTAAGGCAGTTCATCACATAACAGTAACTGCCTTGCAAACCTGATTACTCATGTTCATCCTCGAAATCTCACTCTGAAAGGAAATAATTGCCTCCTGAATGTTATCCTCTCTCTTTCTCATGCACACTATGGCACATGTGAACCCCCAAACACACACACACACACACACACACACACACACACACACACGCATGCATGCATGCATGCGCGTACACACACACACACACACACACAAACACATACCTATTCACATAAGTAAAAATAAACCCCATGGTCTTAGCTAACCAGAATAAATTTTAGAAATGTGTTTGCCAAAGAGTCTTGTATCATTTTAGTAATCGCGCCAAAGTACATATACGATGAAGAAATTAGATAGATGAGAAATGATAGTTATACATACAATCTTAAAAAGAGGATTTAATTTGCTATTGTAGACATTGTATAAAGTCAAAGGTAGAACTAAAATAATAAGGTCAAGAACATTAACACTGCATCATCAAAACTCCCAAATATTATTAATTCCAACACTGAAAATTCTAAATGATATGATTAGACAACTATAACATTCAGAATTTCCTAAATTCCAATTGATATTAAACATTCTTAACATTTCTATATGTCAGGTATAATGGTAATAAAGCTTTAAAAATATGTAAAAATCTATATAATATTAGTATCCTAAGATTTGCACTTAAAAACTTGAAAATCAACTTATGAGCCTCCCTGAATCACAATTAATAAGCCTGATTTAACTTGAAATAGATAATTTGGTAAACATTATGTTTTTAATTTATTAGTAAATTTTATAATCAAAAATTTTAAACTGTATGTGTATTCTCTTCACGTCTATCAAAAAAAATAGAAGGATGTGCAGTGACACATCTTTGGAAAACATAAGCAAAAATGTCACTCATTATTTCCTTAATAGCAAGTTAATAATTATTATAAAGATTATATATATGAGCTATTGTATTAATATTTAGAGCTTTGTTTTTTGAATGGGATTAAGGGCTCCAAAAGATACCATTAAAATACAGAAATTTAATATACACTATTTAACACTCAGATGATGGCAAAAAATAAATTCCACTAAACACTATGAAATTTGAATGTTCAGTCAGCTAAAATATATATAATTGCTAGATTATTAAATTCTTCCATATGAAAATGGACATAGAGATTTAGACTTTAATTGTACAAGGTACATTTTGTAAGCTTTTGAATAAATAGTACAGAACATTGGCATGGCCTATCCTTAGGAAATTATCAGCATATGGGTGTGGGGTTTAACTTCCAACCACAGCACTAGGCTAGATGCAGAGGTATCAGGCCAGGATCTCATAGTGAGAATGAAAAAGAGAACAGAAGAGAGAAAGCAGGAGAAAAGGGGAAGGAAAGATAGAGGGGAGAAAGGCAGAAGAGAGGAAGGAAGAACCAACTTACACATCATTTCTATATCAATTATCCAATCATTATGGAATTTCTGCAAACTAGGATGTTGGAAGCATAAATTGATTTGTTAGGTAGTTCATAAATGGAAAAGCTAGAATTTTAACCTATTGTGTCTTTGTCCCATAGATATGTTATTACTCCATATTCAAATATTACACTACTTTTTGATGTCAGAAATAGGGGCAGGAAGGTTGAAAAGATTCTGATTCTTACTTAGCTCTACAGGATGATATCTAATTGATATTCATTATATTACACAGTTTTATATGAGTTTCTAGCTAACAAAATTATTCTGAGATTTAACAATGCACTTAGTACTAAACCTCTGTTCTATATTTGTTGAAATTTTTATTATTTTTATTTTGTTACAGATTCAGCTGACAAGGTTAAAGTAAACATGTCCAAAAGGGCTTCTGCATCTTGAAGCATAAGGAACAGATGGTCAGATTAATACAGGTGGACTAAATCTGATGAAAATAGGAGATGAGAGTATTAACAGGTGAAGCAGGTGGTGAGGAAAACAGTTTTGTGATTTTTTTTTTTATTGGCTCATGGTCAATGTGGGAAGATGATATCTAAAAGAGATCAATTCTCTTAAAACAGGTATTATCTTTGGGGCAAGTTGCTTTAATAAAATAGAGAGGTTGGTTATGCTTGATGAAAATGAAAAGACTGGGAGAAAAGACTGAAAAGAGCTATAATTAGATCAGTTCTACCTGAAATAGAGCAGCACTGTACAATGTCAGGACAATGTAACACTTTCACTACAATTTTCCTGAGGTGATGAGTTTGTGGAAGGTTGACCAGGACGACCTCATACTGGGTAGTCATAGCTATACTTCTGACTTGACCCAGATGCAGCAGATCACTGCTATTAAATTATCTTTCCAAACAGTAGTAACCCTATTTACTGGGAAAAATCTACTGAGGGAGATAATGTGGCCTGCCTGGTATGTGCCATTCCTCTTCCATAGATTTCTACTGGTGCACTCTTCTGAATTTTTAATTGCACAACTCCGATCTTGTCAATATTTCTACAAGAACTTACCTATAATTTCTTTCTGTTATCTATAATACCTAGCTACAATGCTACACAAATTCAAACATAGTTGGTCCTATTGAACCATTAGTCCAAGTATCACCAACTTCAGATTCCCAAATGCTGAAATTTATGAAATTGTTATGGCCAGATAAAATACCTAAAACTTGTGGCATGACTGAATTGCTTTGCATTGCCATTTAGACATAATCCATCCAAATGTGTTATTCTGGCTCTTATTTACCAGTTCATGTTTCAATGAAAAATCCCAAGATTATTTATAGAATCATTTTAAAAGGCTTAGAATGACAAGATAATATAGATGTGCCAATTTTCAATGGCCTCTCTGCAGCAAGGGAAAGAAAGTCTTGTATGAAATTCAAAGTCATTTTGGTTCTGCCCATTGTTGATGCCCAGTGTTCCCATGAGACAGGCATCTTTACTGCATGGGAAAGCAAAACTGACATGAGAACTTTGCAGTGACCAGCAAAACCCTGACGTAAAAGCAGTGCTTTGTCTTACTCTGAAGTTCGTACCTGAGCGCAAAGCCTCTTTCTGAATGCTTTCATAGTCATGCCAGTCTTTTCTTCTCAGACCATCTGTCCATGAATAGAACGGCCCATCTCCAAGGCCCAGTGGAAATGTCTGTGGAAAAGGAAAGTATTCAAGCATAAAAAAGGATGTATTTTCTTCTGCATGGTTGGTAAACACAGCAGGGCTCATAACAGGCAATGCAAGAACATTTGTTAATTAAATGGCTCCTCTGAGTAGTTTGAGATGAAAATCATTGCTACTGACTGGAAAAACCAACATTTGGAACCACCCTTTTTAACCCTTGAAATGAGAAAATGCCGCTCCTACAACCCCGTGTCATTAAACATTTTATTTAATCTAGACACTTTGTTGAGCACAGCTTATGCTCCCTAGTTGTTTCCATTTGCTTAATGTGTAGCTATTGATATGCTAAATTAATTTTGCTTGTGACTGATAAAGTATTATTTGTTTTGATCAAAAATATTTGAATGGCTTTTTAATGTTATCAACAACTGTTCATTGAATGTTCACTGAGATTGGCACTATATGAAATGCTTTAAATATTGAACTTTTAAATTATAGTAACAACCTTTGGTGGCAAATCCCAATTTTTCTGGAAATTAAACTGAAGCCTAGAGAATTATAACAACTTTGTTGAAAGCACTGTGCCCACATCAAGTTTTAAATTACTCTTTGAAGACTGCCATTGTGGCCTTAGGTGACATCAGTGTACTGAATTCTATCTGATTTTGGGTAAAGTACAGTTCATGTTTACACTGAAGGTTCAATTGGACACCCAGCCTTCAACTGTAGTTAGGACACACATCTTATGTATGGTGATACCAATTTGGAAATATCTCTTGCTTACATTGCTTGAGTACCTTTATTTCATAAATCATGTCAATGGTTTAGAATAAGACACAAAATTACTTTGAAAGAAATTTATTTTAACAATCATAGTAATCACATAAATAATTTATATATTACATAAGGAAGCAAATTATACAAGGTAGGAAAAGTCAATTTGGTGAAAATGAATAAATCCAATTATGTATTTTTCCTTAAGAGCATTTTCAAGGCAAAAAGAATATCCCACTTTTTAGTTTTAGGTGTTATTTTCATTTCACCTCTTTATTTACCATTGTTTTATTCTTATAGCTTATAGAATAATCATGTTATGAAAGGATAAAAATAAAATGTAATGTTTTAAATAGAACAAGAGGGTTTAAGTCAGAGAAAAGATTTTCCTGTTTAGATGACAAATGTACCCAGTTCAACCTTTTGTAACAGTATAGGTCTTTGTGGTAGGAAACAGGAAAAAAGACAAAGAAGAAAGATAATGGAGACAATATGTGAAATATGAACAGCAATGAAGATGAGATTACTTAATATAGGAAAAGCTAAAATTTATAAGGAATTGCATTTAGAGCATACATCCTATTATTTATATTAGCCATGTATTTTTTTATAACTAGTGAACAATAATAAAAACCTATATCCACATAGATAATGCTTACTTTTAAACATGGCTTGCAAATGAATAGATTTGACATGGTACTTGGAAAAAAATTATGAAACAAAAACGCTCTCTGGTTACTTAGCATGCTGCGTTTCCCTTGTTTGAGTATACTTAACTTAGAGAACTCATTGTAACTCTTACTTCATATTTATATTCTCTACAAAAGAAAGGACATAAAAGAGACATCCAGAAAACCAATAGTTGGATTGTCACGAACTTAACATAAATGAAAAAAAAAAATCTTGTTTGTAAGGCAGCTCAAGAATTTGAGAGCAAAATTATAACAGGCTTCTTTTTTTTTTTTTCAGAAGTAACATTTTCTTTACATGTATGTTACTCAAATTAGAATGGCTGATATGGCTGATTTGGTTGCTTTGAGGGACCAAAGAGACCAAATCCCGCGTCCTAATCTGATTCCTCCGACTCTTCCTAGGCTTCGACCTTGGCTGGGGCTGCAGCAGAAGCAGCATTGGTGGTGGCAGCCACAGGGCCAGCAACAGCAAATGCAGATAGATCAACCAAAAAGGCCTTGACCTTTTCAGCAAGTAGGAATATATACTCAGTCTCCACAAAGCCAGATCCCGATTGTACCCATTGATCGTAGAGTGTAGCACTGAGACAACATTCAGGTAACCAATCTGCAGACAAACACTAGCAACACTTCAGACACCCTCTAGGAAGCTAGAGTGCAGAGTCTGCTCTGTGATGTCAAGCACTTCCGGGTTATAATTGATGGCATTGCCAAACATCTGCTGGATGACCAGCGGGAAGGAGAAAGGAGAAGAGATGTTCGCCATGTTCAGCAGTGTGGGCTTTCCTGGCTCCTTTGTCTCCAGCTTTTATCAGCTGCACACCACAGAGGATTTCATTGGTGGCCCTGGAGATTTTAGTGGTGATGCCTAAAGCTTGGAAGAAATAGGTCTTCTTGGGTCCCAGACCAGTATTCTGGGCTAGCACAGTAACCTCACATGGGGCAATGGCACAAGAATGGTCAGCAGCCAGCATCTTATTGGCCAGCAGGCATCAGAATGGCTAAAATGAAAACACCAATGACAGTTTATGCTGGAGAGGATGTGAAAAAAAGGCGAACAGTCCTCTATTGCTGGTGGGAGTGTAAACTTGTACAACCACTTTGCCAATCAGTATGGCAGTTCCTCAGGAAAATGGGAACCAATCTATCTCAAGATCCAGCAATTCCACTCTTATGCATATACCCAATAAGAACATCTGATCAACTATGTTAACAGAAGTACTATTTGTAATACCCAGAACCCAGAGCCAACCTATTGTCCCCCACCCACCTCCCTCAACCCTGATAACAGAAGAATGGATACACAAAATATGGTACATTTACACAATGGATTACTACTCAGCGGGAAAAAACAATGGAATCTTGAAATTCCCAGGCAAATGAAGGGAACTAGAAAAACCATAATAAGTGAGGTAACCCAGGTACAGAAAAGAAAGACAAGCATCATATATACTCACTCATATACAGATATTAGACATAGAGCAAAGGTTTGCCAGAATAAAATCCATACCTCCAGAGGAGCTAGGAAACAAGGAGGACTATAAGAGAGACATACATGATCCCCCAGTGAAGGGGAAAGGGACAAGAGCCCCTGAACAAATTGGGAGCATGGGGGAGGGGAGGGAGGGGAAACAGGAGGGGAGAAGTGGAGAGAGAGGAGAACACGAGGGATGATTCAATAAGGAGATAGAGGAGAGCAAGAAAAGAGACCTATCAATAGTGGGAGCCAGACATTATAGGTTTAAAGAGAAATCTGGCAGTAGAGAATTGTACAGAGATCCTCAAGGATGACCTCGAGTAAGAATCTAAGCAATATTGGAGAGGCTACCTTAAATATCCTTCCCCTATAGTGAGATTGGTGACTACCTTATATGCCATCCTAAAGCCTTCATCCAGTAGCTGATGGAAGCAAAAGCAGAGATCCACAGCTAAGCATTAAGACAAATGACTAGAATCCACTTTCGGAGAGGGAAGAATGATGAGCAAAGTGGCCAAGACCACACTGTGAAAACTCAAAGAAAGAGCTGACCTAAGGAAGTAGGAACTTATGGACTCCAGTCTGACAGCTGGTGAACCAACATAGGACCAAACCAGGCCCCCCTGAATGTGGGTGTAAAATAGGAGGACTGGGCACATAGTAAATTCAAGCAAGCCTGTAATCCACTGCAGTATCTTGGAGGGAGAAACAACAACAAAATTAAAAACCCTAATAAAGTGGGAAAATTGGGACAGTAAATTAGGCTTGATGAGAAACAATGTACAAAAGAGAAGGATAAAAGTATTTGCTATTTGATTCTGTATGAATATTCTAACCTGACAATTTGCTAAACAAAAATCAGTGATATAGATATAATAAAGGGATATAGTAAATGAATTTTAGTAGTAATTTAGTAAATAAAACTAATATCACAAAAATTATCAAAGACAAGCAATGTACATGTTACCTAAAAATTGAAAGCATATAGTTAAATAAAGATAATAAAAGTTAACCAAAAAAGATAAAGTTTAAAATACTTGTTTCATAAAAGAGATCTTGCAGGAAAGGAGACAGGGTGAGGACATTCCTGGTTAACATTACAGATATAGACGTTCTTGTATAATTGAACGTTGAAAGTAGTGTCCAGCATTGGTTTTCTGTAAAACAAACATCTTGAATACTGTGTTCATGTCTTATGTGTTATTAATCAGTGTTGTGATCCTGTAAGGTTAGCTGGCATAGTAAGAATGCTTTATGTTGGAGGAGGGATCATGCTAAAGCAAAATATCTGACACTATACACCTTCTACACCTTCATAAATGATGTCTGAGGATTTCCTGTTAATGCCACTTCTACCTACATCACAGCTTGTCACCAAGCAGCAATGCAAATGATAAGAAACACAGCACATCAGTCCTGACACATGTGTATTAATAAAGGAAACTAAATAGAAGCAAAGGACAGATGTCTTGTTCTCAGGTTGATGTTTTTCTGCTTACTAAAGAGTTCATGAGTGGAAGAGTGACACAGTTATGATTAGTTCAACTAATCAGAAGACTATGTGCCATAATTTCTGGAATAGTCTCCTCACTGACAGCCTATGATTAAGGATATTCTTATATCCTTCCTACCTGACACAATGGTGGGCTAAAGAAACTGAATCAACATATAAAGTCCCTCACAGAAGGGGGAAGGGACAAGTCCCCCAGAGCACAGGGGAAGTGGGGATCAATGAGTGGAGAGTAGGAGAAAGAGAGGGGGAGGAGAGGAAAGCACGTGTGACTAGGAAGATTGAGTCAGAGTAGGAATAGAAGATAGGGGAGAGGGGGAGAGAGAGAGAGAGAGAGAGAGAGAGAGAGAGAGAGAGAGAGAGAGAGCATAAAAGAGGAAGCCATTATTGGTTGGAAGAGAAAACTGAACCTAAAGAAAGGTCTAGAGACCTACAAGACTGCTGCCAACTAACAATTTGAGCAACCGTGGAAAGGCTATCAACAACTAACTTATCCATGGAGCCCTCATGTAATACCTGTTGGAAACAGAAGGAAACACCCATACCTAAACACTGAGTCGAACTAGAATCCAGA